AGCCAATTCAGTAATTGTTTCGAAAAGAAACATTGGTCGGCCGCAAAAAGGATTTTGCAGTACCTTAAAGGAACATTGAATGCTGTATTACTCACAGGAAAACAGGTGCCTATTTGTGTGGCTACGCGTATGCAGATTGGGCGAATAGCGTGTATGATAGGCGGTCATACACAGGTTTCCATTTCACTCTTGCAGGCGGACCCGTCAGTTGGGAGTGTAAGAAACAACCCACGGTAGCGTTATCTTCTACTAAAGCCGAATACATGGCGTTAGCCAGCGCTGCAAAGGAAGGTACGATTCTTAAATGGTTAGTGTTTGAAATTACTGGTAATTCCGATAAGGTTGTAATTTTCAACGAAAGCCAGAGTGCACAGAAAATTATGCGCAATCCTATCCACCAGAGTAGGGCAATACATATGATACCTATCATATGATACATGAAATTTCATTTCGTATTATTGGTGCTAGGTAGATACCTACACTACCTACACTACCTACAGTCAGATAAGGTGACAGCTGATGTATTAACTAATCCCCTAAGGCGTACCAGCCCACCTGAGATGTGTTGTAGGTATGGGCGTAACCAGTACTTAGTTTTATGGTTTTTTTTATTATTTCGTGTAAGTATTGGTGTATTGAAGGGAGGGTGTTGTTGTTTTACTTTTCTTAGTGCCAAAAATTAAAATTAATATTTTCAAATTTACATTAATTTGAAAATATTAATTTAAATTTATAGAACGATGTCCATGTCCAAGTATGTCACTTCAATAAAAATTTGTCACAAGTAAATATTATACTAACCTTAGAATAATAACGCATAGAATAATAGTTTCATATCAAACGAACTGTCACAAGTGAGGCAAAAACCAAATTCATGTAGGCGTAAGCAACTTGTAACTACGCTCGTCGGCACGCACACAAATATACAAATAATGATGCCATGGAATAACATTTCCCTCAAAAGTGGGGAAATTGTATCTTGCTTAACTCATCATAAGTTAAAGGTGCCTACAGATTTGCCCGACATTGTCGATCAGGTGCCTACAGATGTGCTCGGTTTTGTCGATGAAAAACGAATATAGCACTTATTTGTGAATCCAAGATGGCGGACACGATTTTTCAAAATATGCTATATGGGTATCCTTTTCGAGGTATTTGGGGATGCTCATTACGAATATGGCACTCATTTCTAAATCCAAGATGGCGGGCACGATTTTTTCAAAAAAATGCTATGTGGGTATCATTTTCGAGGTATTTGGGGATGCTCAATGTGAATATGGCACTATTTCTAAATCCAAGATGGCGGGCACGATTTTTCAAATAATGGCAAGTTGGGTATCGTTTTCGAGGTATTTGAGGGTGCTCATTACGAATATTGCTTTTGTTTGAACTGTCGTGTTTGCCATCTTGGATTTAGAAATGAGTGCCATATTTGTATTGAACATTCCCAAACATCTCGAAAACGATACCCAACTTGCCATTATTCGAAAAATCGCGCCCGCATCTTGGATTTAGAAATAAGTGCCATATTCGAAACCTAAAACCGAAAATGCCATAAGCAAACATTAAAGAAAATAACTGTTAAAATAGATTAAAAAATCGCTTAAGAATGCTCCCCTTTTAAGAAAATAAAATATTTTAATATAAAATATTTCGCTTGAGTTACGAAAAGAAAGACATATAATAAGCTATCAAAGTTGTACTGGTGGTGCCAACACTATAGTAGAAACAAATATATAAGTACTGTAAATTTGTTGCAATATGTGCTCCAATTCAAATAAAATTAAAATAAATAATTATTCAATAAAGCATGAACGCAGAGCCGTTAAAAGTATTATAAAATAATTAAGTGTCCCAATCACTTACAGGAGTTAACGAAAACATTTAATGTTTATTAAAGTAAATATTAGTTCAAGATGCGCAAATAAATCTAAATTACAGGCACCACTAAAATTTACGTAATATAATTATTTTGATACAGAATGGCAAAATGGGGAGAAAAAAAATTCGTTACTTTGCAACACTTTCGTATCTTGTTGCCGCGAAATTATTTTTCTGTTTTAGTGAATATTTACATAAAAATATGAGTTGAAACGCATTACTTACTTGTGGAATGCGATGTTAGTATCTATTTTATGTTTGTCTGTTGTATTTTTACACCCATTTACCGTACATTTCGTCATTTTTAGCAAAAAATTTTGGAGCTGTTCGCGGTGCAATATGACCTTGAGCACTAACAGCCCGCGCGCTCCTGGGACGCGTTTGGAACCCTCTAACTTGCCTCACTTAGCGTGTGCGGGCTAGGTTTCTATGCGTTATTATTCTAAGATACTAACTATTTACTAGATGTTACAACACTACACACCTGCCGATCGACTCTCTTTTATGAAGGGATGATTTCATTGTATGGGGCGACTAAAATCGGGGCAGCAGAAGTTGGTTGAAACTTGATCAACTTCTGGTTAAAATATGTTTTCATACAAGATGAATAAAATTGAGTAATTTTATTAATGTTATTAGACTCAATTTCTTCCAAGGCTGAAAAAAGTTGGGACTGAGCCTATCATCATTAAAAAAAAATATCAATTTAGATCATTGTAAGTGAAAAATCGTTTTATTAAATCTGACCAAATCCTACAGTCTCGATTTTTTTCGTCTCATACAATGAAATAAAAGTTAAAATTAAAAATTAAAATCATCCTTAAAAGAAGCTGAGTCTATCAGCATTATAAAAAATAGAAAATTTTATTCATTTGCTTTATACACACATCAAAAGTGTCTAGTGATCAAGTGAATATTTTTGAAATAAAAATTATTTAAGCAATATTTACCAAATCCAGTCTTCCAGGACGACTTCTTACTTTAATGCTTATGTTTTATTTAACCGCTTACCCCTATATTTAATTAAAATAAACTAAAATTGATGTTTTTGCAAATTGTGGGAAAAAACTCAAATTAACGGCGTCAATTAAATGACAAAAAAATGGCGAAAATGATGATTTTGCTCATTTTTATTATAAAGATAAGAAAATTAATAATCTGTATTTCCACCATTAACACGAATCACACAATTACAGCGATTTGGCATGCTTAAGATGAGTTCATCAAAATCACTTTGAGGAATGGCCGCCCATGTGTTTTGTAACAAGTCAAAATATTGTTGTAGAGTATGTACGGTATGCATACTCGGCACAGCTCTTCTTTGAAGCATATCCCATGCGTGCTCAATTGGATTGAGGTCTGGCGATTGAGCAGGCCACGGCAGAACGTTGATACGAGCTTTGGCAAGAATGCGTGTTACGACTCTAGCCGTGTGTGGACGTGCGTTGTCATGCATTAGTTGAAATGAATCACCCATCTGGCCTCGCAAAGGGATGATAACATCTGAAACAATCCTCTCTGCGTAAACTTGAGCATTGAGGTTACCCCTGATCCAAATGAGATCAGTTCTTCCGCCGATCCAAATACCGGCCCATATCGTTATTGTTCCCCCACCATATGGATGAACTTCCTGACAATATCTCAAACGTTCATGACGTCCAGATGTTCTCCAAACTCGAGTACGTCTTGTATCCGGTCTCATACCGAAGCGGGATTCATCCGAAAAGCACACATAGCGCCAGTCTTCTTCCTCCCAGTTTCTGTGTTCGCGAGCCCATCGTAAACAGGTCCTGCGATTGCAGGGTGCAATAGGTGGAACTCTGAGCGGCCTTCGGGATCGCAGACCCACTTCACGTAAACGATTTCGGATTGTTTGATCGCTCATTAGCAAGCCTGAGGAGCTGTGGAGCCTCGTAACCAACATCATGGCGGTCATGGTACGATTCCGTCGAGCAGTATTTTGGATATACCGGTCCTGTCTGCGAGTCGTGATGCGGATCGTCCTCCATGTCGCTCGGCCACGCTGCCCGTCATGCGATAGCGCGTCCAGAGGCGACTTATGACGCTCTGTGTAGTGTTAAGAGTGAAAGCCACATCACGTTGCCTGGAACCAGCTTCCAACATTCCGACGGCTCGCATCATCACTTCTCGAGTTAAATGATCTCGTCTCTCCATAATAATGTAAATTGTTTCGGTTCCGATGCAGACATTGTAATGATTTTGTCAAAACGCTATAACTCATTTTTATACAAAACCACATTGACAATCGATTTTCTTCTTATTATCGAATTTTAAACAATATTCCTTATTTAAATGTTAAAACTCACTAAAAAGTATCAATAGCGATACAAAAAAGTTAATATAATTAACCCTAATTGCAGCAATACTCTTAAACGTACTTGATCCCTAGACACTTTTGATGTGTGTATATACATTTTATGAAATTTGACCAACTTCTGTTGTCCCGCTTTTGTGGTTGTATACAAAGAAATCCTTACATATAACTGAGTCAAAGAGCACTAAAAAAATTTGATCAATTTTATTCATTTTTAAGGACAACTCACGTTTAACCAAAAGTTGACAAGGTAGGTAGGTATGCCAAAATTGTTTTCACATAAAAATACTTAATGGTTCTTATGACATTTTCCTTGTATCTATCTTGTATGGTTTCGGATTTCCCCATACTGTCCCATTTCAAATAAACACATTATATTAGTTTTGTGAAAATGTTCGTATTTGACCAGTACTGGTGCACAGCAATTATTTTGCTTTTTTGCATCTATAGTACCTACCTAAAACATTTCATTATAAGTAGATTACCATTTATAGAAATGTTTAAAGAGCTGAACAATAAAAAATAACCTGCAAAAGAACAGTAAAACATTGGGATCATGTTTATTGTTAGTATTTAAAAAAATAACAATAAACATGATCCGCACCTGTTGTCGTTCCCTTCAGCTAAACATTCCTGAGGCTTGGGTCGGTTCGTTTTGTCGCTATATTATTGCTGCTTGAGACGGAACGCAATAACATTTGACACTTCATTATTTAAGTGAAACTATTCTATCAGAATTAGGATTGACTTAGATTATATTTAATTTGATTTTGTATTTGTTAAAATGCCACCACCTACCGAGTTAAGTTTTGAGGAAATACTTAAGTTTATGTTAGCCCATAACGGAAAGGTTACAAATCATGCGTTAGTGAAGCATTTCAAAGTGTTTCTCATGAATTCCGACAAGAAAGGTAAGAGTATAAAACACTATTATTACTCACTTTTGATAAAAAAAATATTGTAAAAATGAGTCACAAGCAAAAGTCTATATATATACCTATTTCGTTTTGTAGATGAAGCCAGGAGTACGTTCAAGAAGCATGTGAACACTCTAGCCATAATAAAGAATCAAAATAATGAGAAATTGCTAATACTGAAGAAAAAGTACTTTCCAAAGGAGGGTGAGGAAGCAGGAACCTCTAAAGTACCTGACTCTCCCAGTGCCCCAGTTATGGATTCTCCAATAGAGAACAATTTAGCACCTCCTCCATACCGGCCTCCACCGCCATTGCAACTTAATCAAGATTTCAATATATTATCTAACCTCATACCAGAGACAGCCTCAAACACTACATTAGAAATGCCTTATAATGTGTCGAAAGAGAGCTTAGCATCAAGTGTTGCTGAAGAGGTCCCCCCTAAGATACACCCAAGAAGGAAATCGTCAGATAAATCGTGTAGCGAGAAACGCTCAAGTATTGCCAGCACAAAATCAGGTCACAGGTCTTCTATACCCAATCAAGATGTTTTCGAGGATGAGAATATGCCTCCCGCTTTGTCAACATCTAAGAGTGACAGTATGTTAGTTGAGAATGAGCAAACCATTTCTGTGAAAGAACGCAAGAAAATGTTCAACAGAATGGCTTCGGAAAGTGATGTATTGAAGTCAAATAGATCAAACACCACTTATCCACAGGTAAGTTGATTTTTATTTTTTTAGAATTATATATATTTGATATTATAATAAGTAAACTGAAGTGACTTGCCACTTTAGTTGGGTTGGCCATATCTGTAAAGAACTAATAATCCATGGAGAAAATGAGTTCTTGAGTGGAGACTATGGCGTGAGTGACAACCTGCGAAAGGCTGCTGGCAGCAGATAACTGCCACAAGCTGAGAACTGGGTGAAATGGTACACATTGGGAGAGACCTATGTGTATGCTGATGATGATTATAATGACCAGCTATTTATCAACAATCATTAAGTTCAAATATGTCTTACTAGTCCCCTTTTATTGGAAGGTGATATAATTGTTATATGTGTATCTACTACACTGGCCTTATAAGAGATACTTTTTTAATGCATTTGATTAAAGGTATAAATGCTTCAGTATGAAATGAATCAATTATTGAAATGCACTTTATTCACATTAAATTTACAATGACAACACAGAACAGAAGGCAGCCCTATTGCTGAGTAGCAATTTCTTCCAGACAACCTTAGGATAGAAATTTAAGAGATGCAACCAAAGAATACCTTCTAATTGGTGACATTAAAATATAAATACAGGACCTATTGAGTTCAGTAGTTGTATATAGTTTGAAACTAGGCAGTATGCAGTCTCCCTGAAAAAAAATATTAACTTCAGTTTGATTAAATATCAAAAACTTTATTTTGGATTTTGGTTTGCAAATTGTAAGTGTTTGATTGATTTTGATAGTGTTTGTTTATTCATGACTAAATTAGAAAATGAGTAGGTGGTTTTCATTTGATATCTTACCTATTTTTGACGTCTTAGAAAAATACTTTTAATCTTTTAGTTAAAGAAGCGAAAAAATTGCGCCTTCAAAAATTATATGATAATTTACATGCTCTATTAAATTTTTTCTCATATGTTTAGGTATTCGGTATTCCGCTGAATAGTGATTCAATATTCGGTATTAGGCTGCATACCAAATATTCATTGTAACTCTAATGTAAATATGTATTTTAAAATTTTCTACTATGATGTAATAATTATAATTTAACCTTCCCTTAAAGCCAGTGATAATTCGTAAACTAACTGCTCTACTACTTACTCGTAGTCAAGAACGTCATTTAACAGTTTCAGCTTATATAAATTGCTCATAGTAATAGTAATTTCTTGAAAAATGTAGCCAATACTGCAATTAAAATACATAGTCCCATTTACCGTACACATACAATATAGACTCCCGAACACATAATTCTAGCCACCTTGCATTTTCAATATTAAATGCCCTAAGCTTAAACAGTGCTTGACTGATCAAGAACTATTAAACTTTGAAACTGGTATACTGCCCTCAGAACGAAATAAGGCACAACTGTTATATAAAGCACGCATGTTGTGCCGTTTTTCGTTACGAGGACAGTATACTAAACGTCATTTCCTTAAGTCCTTATTGAAAAATTTAATTTAAAAAACCGGAGAAAACTTTTTCTTCAACAATAAGTATATTTTTATATTCTAGCCCTTTAAAGATAAAAATGCAAGGTGGCTGGAATTATGTGTCTGGGAGTGTATTAACTTATTAACAAGTTCTCTTTTTCACAGTTGTTAGGCACTACTATTAAGAAAATATATCATCAGATCATATCAACATTGTTTATTATTAATTATTGTTATTGAATTAAATACTATTTTACTTTAATAAAACCAGTTATTATCTAAAGTAAATACTATTTAATTTCATATCTTGAAAAGTGTCAAATGATTCAATTCCTTCCAAAACATGTAACTGTAAAATATGAGCCAAGTTGTGAAAATTCTCTGTGAGATTTGAAATAGAAGTCAAGCGATGGTCTGATGTGATAACTAGTCTCAAAATGGTCTTTTTAAATAAATGTTTATAAATAGAAGTAATTCCTAATTTTGTCAAAATAAGAGTAACAGCAGTATTTATTGTTGCTCAATCAATGCAAGACGAGATTAACCCCAGCCTTAGTGCTGGCCTCGTGTAAGTACACCTAGTCTTGGTGTCGGTCTTGCTACAAGAGTGTTGCAATTAATTACCTATTGCTACTTGTCAAACTATCATGACCATGGTTCAGATTTTAGAACAATATTTTGAGTACACATTGACGTAGACACAGTGAAGGACAACCAATTGACGTAAAATTAACCTAAAATATTTTTTAAGATCATATTGATTAGTTATAATCATATGAATACCCTAAACCCGTGCATAAGATGAATATAATAATAATAGGTAGCTTATGTTATAAGTACACGTGGGTACAAAGTTATTACTCGATTAAGAGGCGCCGGCGCCGCGCCATCCGCGCCGGTTCGTTAGCTACTTCTTCAATTTTCAGCGTTGGTGTAAATAATTCGCTAACTTCGCTGGTGCTAGTGGTTTTTTGCTACACTTATATCAATGTATACCACATTATTTTATGTACGTAAAAAACTATTTGTTTCAACATTTAGTCATCAGTACTATAGCTTTTTGTGTTATATGTAACAACCAACCCCTTTGTAAGCGAAGAAACAGTTGTTTTGATATCGATACTAGGGAACGTCTATCAATGTCGATATTGATTTCAAACCATATGTACCAATACCTAACGCCCACGTTTGAGTTTAAAGTATCTGTGAAACAGAAGAGTCTCACTGACTTAGTCTTGTTCTTGTTCAAATCTTGCAGGATGGGTCTTTGTCTTCGTCTTCCTGCGATTATAAGACTGCAAGAATAAGACCGACTTAAGGCAACACTATCAGTATTGGTTCGTTTGCGACTTCTCACAATTTTTGTCGCTGAAAGAATCACGAATCTTTGTTTCTTTTTAATATAAATGTAATTGACGGGATTCCACTTCTTTATGTAGATATAAGTTCAACTACTGATGTAACATCACTTGAAGTACTGATTTAACTGGCTTGAAATTCAGCAGTGAAGAGAATATTTCACGATATTTTTTTTGTTAGCGCTAAACGGAATGAATAAAAAAAAAAAGTAGAATAGAAAATAAAAAGTAGAGCGAAAGAAAACGAAATTTGATCTAATTGACAGGCAGTGGCAAAGATTTGGGTTATGTTTTTGTTATTTTTATTTTTGCTTCTTATTAACAAACGAAGGTCAGTAGGAAATTGCGTCATAAGTCGCATGACTAACTACTACTTTGTGTACGTACTTATTTAAATTATAATATTCGTAAGTATCCTCATTTGCTCAAGACGATGCTGTTTAGGAAATAACTGATCGCCTGACAATAAATATTTCATTACGTAGTCACTAAACCGCCAATCAACCATTCAACCTTAGGCGAGTAGAAAGGCCAACTATAAATTACTAAAATACAAACTATGAATTTTGTTATCTGCTCCAATAAAAGTTTTGAATATTAAAATGTAGCGTGGTTGTGCGGGTTAAAGTTTCCTGCCCCTCGACACCTGGTGCGGCTAATTGAATTGTAAAACCTTCGTCATGGCCCTTTGGCGGCCAGAATGATCTCGAATCTGATTATTATCGATAATAATTTTCTTGATCGTGCCGGGGTATCAGAAAGGAAAGGGAAATTGCTAATGTATGTATCTCTTACACCTTTAAAGTTAGGGACCTAAACATTAAATTGGCTCCAGCTAGGATACTATGACAAATTGTTCCGTGTTTGTACCGCCACAAATAACATTACATTGGGCTAAACAAGTAATGAGAATATACCCAATGGACACATTTCAAAAATGTGCCGAGAGGGATATGGGGCTGCGAGAGCAAAAATTTAATAATAAATAATTTTGTTTCATCTGTACGGAACGACCCCTGCTCGAGGGTAGATTACAACGCGAATAACAAAAACTGCTAAGGGCGAATTTTAGGCCAAACCTTGTATGATCACGAACGTAATAGGTATTACAATAATTAAACAATATGTATTAATTCCATGTTTATTAGACATGGCAAGAATAAAACAATTACAGAAAATAAATGGTCCTCTATAATCAGCCAATTGTGTTAAAATAATTGCTTCTTTTATTATTGTTGTGTTAATGTCATCGCAATACTTAGAATTCATTCGTTTGTAGCTTTGAATTTCTTATTTTCTGTTTCACACCGCCGCACGGTGTCACCAAATATCACGATTATTAAAACATTAACGATGTTGACGGTAAATCTTCTGTTTTAGTAATAATGTTGCTTCATTAAAAAGCTGCGGAAGCAAATAAATAATAAATGAACAATCCGTTTCTCACTAATATGCCACATTGCCGCCCATCCGAACGAGATCGTGACGCATAAATCAACACTGAAATAGACCGACGAAGTGTACCTCCGTGACGCTTCCGCTCGTCAATTAGAATGCCCAAAAAATTAATCTATAATTTTTTTATATTAAAACGCAGTTCTCTCTCAAGCTTTTTCAACGCTCCGCTATAAAAAGGGATAATAATAGTGAGCTTAAACGTTACGTTTATAAAAAACACTTCCTTTGAAAGAGAGACTATACTATCGGTCATTCTCAGACTAATGTTCACTACCTAATTTCCGTGGCAATTTTAATTAAAGCTTTAAGCTTTCGATCTTTTTAAATTTTTGTTTAAATTTTTAATAATTACACGAATATACTTGAATATTTAAATAATAAAAATTGCCCACAAATTAGGTAGTGAACATTAGTCCGAGAATGACCGATATACGTAGAAACTTAATAATAATAATAATAACGTAATAACGTACACACTCAACATAGCCCCGCACTAGGGAAACCCTGTGTTGCGGGTGCCATGGACACACACATAGACAACCACAAATTACACCCAAACTCACGAGAGAAATAAATGTAGGCCATACAAATATTTCTCCCGGCCCGGGAATCGAACCTGGGACCTCTACGTGGCAGTCCGGCATGGTAACCATTCGGCCACAGAGGCAGCTGAAATTACTTAAACTTAGAATTTTCTTGTTTTATAATTTCTGCACTGACGTAAGATTGACTACTATGATGGATATATCCAATAGACACGGCAAAGTAAATATGCCACGCAACTTTTAACTTGCGTTTGATAAACTGTAGGAGTAGGTAACCAATTCAACAATAGTACCATGATGATAATCGTCAATGTGTCATCTGTGTATAGCATATTGAACCAGCTCGTGACTTATTGTCAATTGTATTCCACAGTTACTGTTGAGTCTGCTATAGCACGCGTGCTGTAAAAATACAGGCCACGCATTTTTTATTTTTTGGATCTTACCCAAAGTCCCCAGACCGCAAACAAAAATGTAAAACAATCACAAGTTTTTCTGCTACCTCAGCGTTTACGTGTTAACTGCAAAACGGGATGTTGTTTAATTACCTGTATCGAGGCACCGTAATAAATCCTTCAAAAAGGTAGCGAAAATAAGCTTCATTTTAAGTACACGTCATCATCGCTTTGAATAAACGCACTCTAGTTGTTATGCACGATGTGAGAGATAAGCTATCACGGTCCGTTGCGAGACGGCAGGAAAATATGACCGATTTCATTGTTCTCTCTCTACAACCAGTCCCTGAGAATCACTTGCGGCCATCAAAAACGCGGATGCCACACTTAACGAGGCTTGTCGAAGTGATGGAAAATAGGAACGGATGAATTAGCTGTCAGCTACTGAAAGATAAAACTGAGTCGGCAGCCGGTGCATAATACACGCTCTGCAGGGGTAAAACAATTGACTGTTTGTGTCAGCCTAATAGCTATTTGTGAAAGTTCCTGTTACAACGCGTTCTCAGTCAGTTTGCTTATTTGTTTATAAATCGTCATCATTGTTACGTTGTATATCGTTATTTTATTCACATCGAACTTTACAATTCTACACATACAAATGCAATTCTTAATTTCTTCAGACAGTTTTTATGTAAACATTACAAATTCGTTTTTGTAATCTAATGTTGGTACAGTCAGCATCACAACAATTTGTCAAAAGGTACCCATCCACGTGGTCAATTTTATTTTATTTATTATTAGAGAATGCCTGTGTTCATTTAATGAAAATCCACCTTTAATTAAATTAATTTATTTTTATTATTTAATGCCATAAAAATAATGTCACGGTATTAAGGGCTTGTAATAATTTTAACACCATATCTTTTTCATAGATAAAATTAACCAGTGCACATATCCGCCACTCTGTCAACATGCAGGTGTACCTTGATATTGTTATAATTTATTTCTGATGTCGGTACAATTATTTCAAATATAGGTTCTATTTACATACATATACTTGATACGAAATTTGACGGATACATTACAAACATTTACACAGTTTCTGGCTAAGTTTTTGGCAAAATTATACGAGGTGTCAGTTCAAATCATTTTGTTGCTGTTGGTATGTAAAATATGTGACTAAATGCTTACAAAATAATAAAGTTGAACGTTAGAAGGTTGTGACGTGTATCGATCGTGATGTCGTGCCGTCGCCACCATAACGTGGCCCAGCGCGAACACCCTGATGCGTTCGACGTCCTGGAGTGCGGCACGCACGCCTGGAGTCCTTTGGCGACGCACTGGCGACTGTCGCATTCCTCTTGCATGTTAAAAAACATTCTTTGTGTGTGTTTTATGAATATAAAACAAATAAAACGAAAACTAGTGATAGCTTAATAGTAACTTACAGGTATTTGTAAGCAAAACGTTGCGGAATCGATTTTCGTCTCGGGCCACATTTAATACACTAGATACTAATTGTGGCCCTAATCAATCTACATACATCAGATTAGCGTAGCAATTCATTGGATACGACGTACATAATATCGCACATGACAACTAACATAGTATTATCTCAAAAATTGCGTTACATTATATTTTATCTCAAAAATTGCATTACGTCTATGTCATTCGTATACAATTTATTTAACATTAAAGTAACATTATTGTCCTGTCACTTTGAAATGTAACCGTATACGAATGATATAATGTAATTGTTGAGATTAAATTGTATAATGTGGGGACAGTTATTTTTAAATAATCTATTGCTTAGAACTACACAGTTAATAGAACCTTGTGCATTTCCTTAGCTGATTTGCAAGTTTCGTCGAATGAAGTGCTCAAACCTGATTCAAGGTAATTTCTACGTATATACGAGTAGATCGTAAACTCTTTTACATTAGTTCGTTTAAATTGCGAATGCTTGCGCTCACTAAATTCGAACTGCGCTCCAGTATTGATAGAAATTCTCCGAACTATTTAGAATGACGACTAGTCTTCTAAAAACTAACTAACAATTGTTTGACGTTTTGCATTTCACATACCTTGAGTTAATTGTCATTCCATAGAAGTAAAAAACTGGCAACGTACAAACTTAATCTTGTTATTAAATCAAACACATCACATTAAGGATGTTATCTTGTCAATATCGAAGTCCCTAACAGTGAGGCCAATAGTGTAGACATAAATATGTAACGACAGGTGGTAAAGTGGTCATGCTGCGCAGCGCACGCCCCGCGGACCATCTTCATAATAAGTAACTCCATCAATTGATTGCTCAAAAATGAACTGTATGGGTTTTGCTTACGGTTTTTAATTAATACTAACCATTCAGATTACTTATAACATTTATCCCACTCTATAAGCGCAGCGCAAGTCTGAAGACGAGAGAATTCGAATTTATTGACCATTAATTCAAAATATTATTTTCACAATATAAGTACATACTCATTTATTAATTTTGAAATATTAGGTTCCGATTAATTTATATGTGTCGTTAAGATATTTATTATGCATGTAATATCTTCTTTATTTATAAGTACTTCTAATCTTTTGTTTTCGGTCTTTAAAAGTACATTTATTGTATCCCATTTCAATAGTAAACTAACAAACTTTGATAATAAAAACTGAACTCGTTCGACTCTAATTGAGCATACGCTGTTATATTGTAGTAGATATGCTTAATATAACTACATTAATACACGTTATGGCACTCTTATTTCCTTCTCGTATAACAGATTTGGCCTTTTTTATTGCAGAGTGTCGATGAAGAAGACCGAGCCTCGGTAAGTACCTTAATTTTTTTTTCCTTGAAACTTTATGAAATACGAGTACTAGGATATATTTTTTCACATTCTTATTGTTGCTGGATCAGAAAGGCGAAGCCGATCCTTTGGATTCGAAACAAAAACAGTGGATTCTGTGCGCAGCACGAGGGGAGTACCATGCACTCGCAAAAATGTGCAAAGAAAATCCAAAACTCGTCAAAACTAAGGTAAGATCTTCGAAAATCTCGCGTGCACTTACGTTTAACAGTAATACCTAGTCAATTGCCCAATTTATTTTGAAGGAAGCGATTTCTATTGATATTATTTGACGCTCAAGAACTATAAAAATTAAAATTTGTCAAGAAAAAGTGCATGTTTCGAAAAAGCGTAGTAAAAGTAATGAGCTGTCTGATACTTGTTATGAGCAATAAAACCAAGACACTTAATGCGATTAGTGAAAATTTAATTCGTGCTGGTCAAACATCCACAAAGGAGATCGCCATGCCCAGATTGGAATTACAATTTTTAGTAATTAACCAACTTCAAAAAAAGGAGATCCTCAATTCGACTGTAAGTTTTTTTTGTATGTATGTTACGCGATAACTCCGGTATTTGGGAACCGATTTTGATGATTTTTTTTTTGTTGGAAAGAGTGTACCTCCATAGTGGTCCCATTTAATTTTGAAGAAAATCATCCACCTCTAAGGGTGGCTGTTCACACATGAAGATTCATTTTTATAAACAGCGCCTAAATTTTATTATAAGGAGCAATTATTTTAATGGTTGATTTTGCTATTCTCCAATTCAAGACGTTTTTCTTTCAACATACTTTGAGTAGTGAGAACCGATTTTTATTATCTCACTGTGTCAAGTTCCGTATAGTGGCGAACTAGGGGATGAATCCGGGTTTGTGCACTTTCCGGTAACAGATTTCAATAAAACTTGGCAAATAGATGTAATTCCACGTACCTACTTTTGAGGTCGGTTTTTAAGTACTCTGTACTGAGATTATTTTAGATTCCAGACTAAAGCATGGCAAGATGCGGTATGTACTTTAATAATTTATTTGTCTCAAACAGACATTTGCATAAGGCATTCCATACATCGATGACTTTCTAGAAAAGCGGTTATCACTAAAACTTAAATTATCTGAGGCGTACTGTGCAATATCTAGAAGTTGTATGTATAGTGGAAAGTTTTATTCACTAAAAATTTTTGGAAATTCTTTATACATCTGTCTAATAAGCCGAGATCCTTCAAGAAACTGAAGTTTCTTCATTGAAATGAAGTGATATCTATAGAGTCAATAATACCCCGTTTTGGAATCCCATGATTAAAAATAAAAAGCAGAAAAACTTACAATTACAAAACTAGTAAATAAAAAATATAAAATATAAGTAATGCTGTACAATAATTCCATGATATCAGACCCTCCCGGTATTACTTACTCTATATGTATTACTTCTTTTTACATGTATGTATTCTGCCTATTCCAATTACAGGCAATAGTTTAAAAATTGACTATTTTGGTTAGAACGACTATCTTCAAAAGGAGCGTTTATTTTTATATAAAATGGCATAAACAGTATATTCGCGAGAATGTGGTATTGCAATGTCGTATCATATATACCACAGAATCTCACGTTAAGATAGAAAAAGCAGAGGTGAGGTGCGTGTGACAGCAGTCATATGTTACACATTCTTACGAGTCATACATTTGCCACTAGTGTCCTTTGAGGTCATTCTCCAAATGTTTCTGAGTTTAACCCCACCTAGTAGTTGGTGTATGAGTCGATGAAAAATACGATATAATGATGAAGGCACATTGTTGATTTTTGAATAATTTCTAGAAACCTTACGAAACGAAAAAAGTGATAAACGTTAACGGATGTCGTAGTCCCGCATCTTTGCATTTTTAGGCGTTAGTTAAGCACCAAGTGAGAGCACATGTCCAAAAGGTGTGCTTCTAATTGGGTCTCGGGTAGTGCGGCCGGCGCCGGGCCTTGCCCCCCGTCGCATGCTATCTTGACATATCTCCGGACGTAGTCCCTTGTTTTATTTTACGAGCCATCTCTCAAGCCTTACTTTTTTTCTATTCTACAATTATGTTTATACGATGCTGTTTCAACTCGTGCCTTTGATATATTAGCGTCATAATAAACTGAGGGGTCGCAAATTTTGGAAGATGCCTATACTGATTATTTCAATGTCATTAGTAAAATACAACTTGGTTAAACTATCGTGTCAAACCAATACATTGTAATATCAGAAAGATCATTTTGAGAAAAAGCTGCAAAATTGATTTTTCGGTATTTTGTAATTTTTGAGGTATAACTGAGGGGATAACATAAAAAGCTACATTTAACTTACTTTGTAATAATTTACGTATAAAAGATGAGACATAATCTATCCATTACAATTTTACTTTGCAAAATAAGCTACCTATGTATATTGAAAAGGAAATAAATTTATTTTCCATTGTTAAGCCAAAAGGTTCTTATTGTAATGAAGTTGCAAAACACTGTACTGGAACTGGCAGTGTTTTGGTTTGACACCATAGAAATGTAACGTTTAAAAAAAATCTTTATATCATATGTGGTATGAAAATAAACAGTTACAAAATTTATCGTAGGTATTGAGTGAATGATGAACATTTTTTTATTGAATGTTTAATATTTTTTTATAATACATAGACATTCGATTATCTATTAAATGGGAATTTCTTATTTAATCGTTTTACCGGCGAGTCGTCACGTTGATTACTTACAGAGCACGTTACTTTTATTGAATACGCCATAAAAGGGGTAATGATAGCCTTCTTTTACAGTTTAGTAGTAAATCAAGAGTCAACGCAATTGGATTCGAACTTTATTGACTTGCTTGCAGCAATGTTGAATTGCTGTTAACTAAATGAGGATTGATATAATGAAACGAGAGTTCTATTGAATTTCTTTTACTTCCCTATCACGATAATCAGTTTACATGTTATTAATCGTTGTGATATGAGTTCACGACATTCTGAATTCAAAGACTTGTCTTAATTTATCTGTCACATGAACATTGCATTACAACTCGTGCTTGAAAATGTAAAACGAAGGTTACTTCATTTTCTTTACGCCTCTCAGGCTATTAAAGTTCCAGTAAATATTGTCAGACAATACGTAACACGTGTTTGCTACTGCGCCTTGCTGGTTGACATTTGTCGTCTTTCATCTAAAAAACACTTTGATGCTTATTTTCGTATTTACCTCGCTTGCTGATAGAATTATTGATTTGTAGAAACATCTCTCTGTGTGGGTTCTAGCATTTTTTTTATTGCCCGGCCTGCTTGTATCTCTTTGAAAATGGATCCTTAAATGTGTCATCGCTCCTTCCTATCCAAAGAGAATTATCTAAATATTTATTCATTAATATCTTCGCAATGGTTATTATGTGAGATAAATTAGATGATCTTGTGATTTTTAAGGCTTCATGTGCGCCCTAGATAAATCCTCTAAGTAATTATAATTAATATCTAAATTACTGTTTGTGTTACAACACAAACAGAACTAAAGAATGAATTTAAAGAATTCCATTATAATTAACTACAAAGCATCATCATTGATATATGTATAAACGTGCGTGTCCAACGGCTATTTTTTATTTTTAAACCCCAATATTCTTAACTTCATACATATCTACGCGCAATTTCTTGTCGAATTGCTTAGTTACAAAAGAGTGTAAAAGTATTTAACTGTTCGATCTCTATAAAAAAACATTTCAATAAATATTTGATTGTTTTCTAACGATCGTGTAATTGTATTGGTAAATGTTTGTTTAGTAAGCTCGTAAAAAGAAGAGTCCAATATTATCATTGTTGATTTACGATCATTCATTCCGACCGGGGCGGAGTTGGTGGTGGAGGTAATTAAATCCAAATTATTGAACATGATTCGCCGTACAACAGCAATATTTATTCGGTACTGGCCTGTTATAGTTAATTATGATATTGGATCATAATACTAATATAGTTGAATAAACGATAAGATGCATGCAATAACTGATTTTAGAAATAATGTATTAAGATTTAAGAAAACATTGTGAAATTCACTATCAACTTTTTTTATAATTTTGATTTTTGAATCATAAAATAGATACGTCCAGAAAGTAAATCTCTTGCTTAGCTTAGAGGTATGTTATAAAATATAATTCAAATTAAGCTTCACAATTTCATACCGTCGTCGTTGTTTCGCCATAAAGTGATTTAAGATGTTTGGTATGCTCTAATTGGTGACTAAGTTCGTTGCGATTAGTGCCATTTTTTGTCTACTGCTTGGCGCCTGCGCGCTGTCTGGGGATTCAATTTCATCGTAAAAAATGTTCCCAAACATTCATCTAGCGTTCGGTTGCACGCGCTATTAACGCCAACTCGACGATAGGAGTGCCTTTGCAGAAAGCATTTTAGTCCTGATTTATTTCCGTGCAAGGTATCACTGCACTGACATGCCACCGTTTACCTAATTAATACTTTTTGCTCAGTTAATTGTTACACACGAATGTGCTGTATTGAGACTTGTGTAATTGCCACTTGATTTTTCTATACCACTTGACAGTTCTATATTTAGATAAAAAAAACTAACTATAATATCTAGTGACGGGACGAACAAGTCGTGCACCTGATGGTAAGCTACACGCCCGTCCATAACAGTTGCAGCGCCAGTCTGAGCTTTTACATCGCAAAGATCCGAGGGGCACTGCCACTGCGACCGTCACCTTGAGATTTAAGTTGACAAGTCCAATGTGCCGGTAATTTCACCAGCACCCTTATCCTTCAAAACCGGAACACAGTAATGCTGACATTACTGTTTGGCGGCAGAAATAGGTAAGGTGGCAGTACTACCCTGGACTAACTCTTTCACAAGGAACTTTACTGCTAAAAATAGTTAATTGTTTGATAGTTTAATTGTTATGTATACAATGTACTACTGGGGGCCTACCATAACCTTTCCAAAAACAATGTTATTTCAATGTAAGCTTAAAGTAAGCTTATTGTAATATTACTCATATTTGTACCATGACGAACTTGTCTACAATAAAATGACTGAAAGAACGAATGATTTCCCAAAATTGTCTATTCCTTACTAAACATAGGAAAGAAATAACGCTATATGAACTGTATAATGCCATCGCTTTATTTTTTGATGTTCCGAATCTTGTTTGATAGTCACGTTGTGAATTCGGAACTATA